TGTGCAGTGTTGGGGTGGCTCCAGGACCAGGGTTGGGAACCACTGGGTTAGGAGATACAGCCAGTGTTTATGACGGGCTCTTCCTCTTTTGAGGAGCTTAGTGACTCTTATAGTTCATATTCCTCTAAGTGTGCTGCAAAAGGAAAGACGTTTGTTTGCGTTTAAGGTGTATCTGTCAAACCCAGCATAAGCAGTAAACAATAACTGTTTATTGGATATTAATGTACTGTAAATTATTTTTATATATGAACTGTTTGGCAATATTATGTAACATTTGTTGGGAGAAGGTGTCACATTGAATTCCTCATTTGATATTTAGTCCTAAATCTTTTCGTTTTTTGGTGCAGGTTGGGATCGTTAATATCACCATTGTACATTTATTGTCAGGGTTCCCATAGTTAGGAAGTTTTATTATGAATAATGAAAAATTTAATTAGTAAATCTACTTATTTAACTGTAAAATATTTTATCATATAGTAATTGGTACAAACGACTGAAAAGTAATATAAACTTAGCAGTTATGCCTTGTAATTCCACAAATATGAACTGATACTTGTTTATTTGTATTATTCTATTTTGACCTCTCATGGACATATATTTTACAGTGGGAAAGCTAGATGTAAATATGGTTTTACAGACTAGGAAATACCTTGGTATAGCCTCATATTTATGGTCACATACTAATGCTGCAGGTGACTCAGTCTTTCCAAGTTGTTTGGGCTTGTATGCAAAATGAATATTTTTTTCTACAGCCGTGGATAGACTGTTCAGTTCAGTCTGGTTCTCACAGAGTCACCATAAGGGTGGATTCATATTACACCAGTTCAGTCCCTTATTTTAGCCTTTGTGTTCTGGTATTGTTCAGATATTTTGCCCTAAAAGTGTTCCACAGCTTTTAGGTCGTATATTATTAGCTTGTGTGCTGTTATCTCAATGATCATAAAAAGGCCAAACCAGTGATGTCATCATAACCACCCTGCCCATGTGTGTCATCGATTACACCGAGAACAAATACTATTGAATGGACAGCCAGGCATTTTTCCAGTGTAGGCCACTGGTTCAAGGGGGAGAGATAGTCAGGCATTATCCTTGTTTAACTGGATTGGACTCTGTGGCAACCCCCTCTTTCTCATCTCCTAATTAATCTTAATAATCTGCTTCTTTTTTTTTTTTTTTTTTTTTGATAATCTGTATGGAAGACCAAGGAACAAATTTACCATGTGTTTTTTTCTCAGACGAACTTGCTTTTACTAAATAAGCTGTTTATCTAATATTATCATTCATCTAAGAACACATGATAGGCCTGGTTTCACAGACAGGGCTTAGACTAAACCAGGATTAAGCCATAGTTCAATTAGGACACTTAAGTAATTTTTATAACCCTGTCTTAAAAAAAACATTACTGGTGTGCATCTTGAGACAAAACAAGGGCACTGACATATTTTAAGATCAATCAGTGTGAGTTTCTTTCAGTTGAAACGGCTCAAACTTACATTTTAGTCTGGGACTAGGCTTAAGCCTTGTCTGTGAAACCAGGGGATAATGTTTAGGGGGGTCTCATTTAAAGACCTCATGAAAAGAAGTAGATGTGCACCTAAATGTACCTTAAAGCACATTTTGAATGACAAATAATTTTATAAATTGTTTTAAATTGCATCGTATTGTTTAATGCTGAGTGTGTGATTTACTATGTAGTCTGTTGTTGGAGCTTTGTGTCTTTCGCTGGTTATTGCTCTCAGAAAGAGGATTAGTTTGGGGCACAATGCACCCCTGCCTAAGTTTCGACCCCCCTCCTTAGTGGGAGGTTTTGTTGAATTGACCCAAACACAACCTAGATTTGTTGGGGTGGACAAAAAGAGTCATTAGCCCCAAGTAGACTCACTTGTGAGCCATCTTTTCTTTTATTGTGCTGTTTCAACGAAAACGCCCCTTTTCTATTTTCATTCTCTGTGCTTTTTGTTGTATTCTATGGTCTTCTGTTCCTGTTACTGCATCTCCTTGATTAAATCGTATGTTACGTCACTGTTGAGGTCTCTCAGTGCCTCTGGGCAGGTAAACAAGTCGTGTGCAGGTCCAGGGGGAGGGGAGCATGGGCTGGATGTGCGATCACTCTCCATTCACTCATGGCTCGGTTAATGCCACTGCTAAAGTAACTGATGCAGAAACAAGAGTCTCTATGAGGGCTGGAGAGAGAAATCTGAGAGAAGCACTAAAGAGCTTTAATTGTAATGTTCATGCACCTTTTTGTGTTACAAAAAAAGTACCTTTCTGAGTCCCAGTATAACGTAATTTGAATTACGGCAGGTTTAAAAATGGTTTATGACCAATTCTTGTTTTAACATCCCTGGCTCCATCAGCACAGCTCAAAGTTATACGATTAACCCAGTGTAATAGGCTACGGGTGATATTGCTTAAATATTGATAAAATACAATTTTATTTAGATATTCTTCAGGATTTTGACAATATTATGGGTAAATATTTTTTGAATAAACCATTACTTCAACCAAAAAGATGGTTAGAATATTAGAATAAATATTTACAAAAAAAATGTAAATAAAAATCAAGGTAAAAATAATCAAGGCATATTATTCACTAAATAAACACAAGAATAATATTAAATCATTTTATTTAAATGCATATGATTTTTTTATAATAAATATAAATGTGAATATTATTTAATAATATTAATGATATTAAATTTGTTTTAAAATTCTAAACATAGTACAGCAAAATTGTAAAAACATATGTATTGTAAATTTGCAATATACATATCTCATAATGCAATATATCTCTAAATGCATTTACCTTCATGCGTTTGGCAGGTGCTTTTGTCCAAGGTGACTTACATTGCATTCAAGGTGCACACATTATCAGATCTTGCTTTCCCTGAGATTCGAGCTCATGGCCTGGTGTTGCTAGTGGTGTGCTCTACTGTTTGAGCTGCAGCGAGGCAATGCAGTATAGCCTCCCAATTTGTTTTTATTATGTCCGTGTACAGAATTGGGAAAAGGGGTGCAATGAAACGTCTCAGGTTACTTATGTAACCATGGTTCCCTGAGTAGGGAACGAGACACTGCGTCCTCTAGGGGTCGCTAGGGGGGAACACCTCGTCGTGACCCGTGTCTGAAGCATACATTGAAAAAACAACGAGGCATTCCCCCATAGCGACCCCTAGAGGACGCAGTTCGAAGTTCCCATGAAAGGGAACATTTATTTAGTGCACCTGCTCTCCTCCTGTTACTTTTCATTGATTTAACCGGAAGTCTCCCAGGGTAGCTCACCTGTTAACCCCTGCTACAAAGCCTCACTCCTGATCCATCACAATCAGACACTAGTGTCAGATTTCACAGTGATTCAGACAATCGGCCAGTTATTCCTAGACAGTGGACAAAGAGGTTGAAAAGAAAAAAGTATAACGTGCGTGTTCTCCAGGAAACACCTGACCTTTCCCTGTAGGGCTTTTGTGAGTATGCTGCCAGACAGTGATCAGGGTGTGGCTAGAGAGACAGAGCTTTGTACTAACCCTTTACCCTGAAGCCTAAAGGGAAAGTCTGGAGAATCCAGTGAAACCTGAGACTTCCTGACATCCATCATTCCCAAGCAGAAATATACTAGGGATGTAAGAAAAGTTTTTTTATTTCTAGTAAGTACTGTTATTCATAAATGTGAATAAATGTTTTTAGCTTTTCATTCAAGCGGTCTTTGAAGTCAACATGAATTCACAGATGTCAATATTTAATGCTGTTCTTTTTGCAAAAAAAAAAAAAAATGTATGTGTGCATTATATTCCAAAGAAAAAAATTTGTCTTCAGAATTTTTCTTCAAAATGTAATTTCTAATTTTGAATTACATTAGCATTCAAACATTCAACTGTAAGAATTGAGGTTGGAAATTCTCTTATGGTACCCAAGGCTGCAGTTACAGTATTTGATCAAAAATACAGTAAAAGCTGTAATATTGTGAAATATTACAATTGAATTTTTTCCTACTTTAATATCTTTTCAAGTGTAATTAATTTATTGAATTTTCAGCAGACATTACTCCAGTCTTCAGTGTCACATAATCCTATAAAAATCATTATAAAATGCTGATTTGATGCTCAAGAAACATTTTTTATTGTTATTAGAGTGTTGAAAATAGTTATGCTGCTCTATTTATTTGTTTATTTATTTATTTTTGTGGAAACCGTGATGCATTTGTTTTTCAGGATTCTTTGATGAATAGAAAGTTCAAAAGAACAGCATTTATTTGAAATGAAAATCTTTTGTAACATTACACGTTTTTGTACTCTCTTTTTTTTGGTAAATTTCCTTGTATCTTTGCTAAAAAAAAAATTATACAAACCCTAAATGTTTGAATGGTAATGTAAGTAATAAAATACTGTAAATATCCTGTTTTACTCTG